AGAGTTGATATATCCCTCATTACAAAAGTGGCTCATATATGCCCCTACTATTATACAAATGGCTCACTTATACCCTTTTCCTCTAACGAAAGTGAAAAAATTAATTTTAGTTTTATTTTTTTAATATGTTTTTTAAAAAAAAATATAATCTCATATGGGTATATTTAATCCTACTCAAACATAATTTTTTTAAACTTTTTTTTTGTTTCAACGACTAATTTAAAGTTATTATTTTGATGGTCAAATTTATTTATGTTTCACTAATTTTCTTGTAAAATTTATCATAGATGACTTTTTTTTCAAATACAAAAACTAAATAACAGTATAGTCGAAAAAATAGTTTTAAATTATAATATAGCCAAAAAAATTAGTTTTTAAATTTTCCACTAATTAAGGAACGAAAGAAAATAGTAAAATAAGAATAAGAAACTCAAATAATGATAATCAAAGACGTCAAAAAATAATTTATGTATAAAAAAGATTAAAATATACCTTGAACTTTGCTAGAAGTTCATATATATACCTACATAAAAAAAATTAAAATTAAAAGTCAAAAATATAAATTTAAAACTTTTTTTTTCACTTCCGTTAAATTAAGGGTATATGCGAGCTCATTTTGTAACGGTAGGGGTATATGTGAGCCGTTTGTATAACGGTAAGGATATAGATGAGCCACTTTCATAACGAGGGACATATTAGCACCAAATGACAAAGTTGAGGAGTATATTAGATCATTTTCCCATTGTTAGATGACCAATTTAACAGTCAAAAGAGGCATATCCATCCATACATGATCAAGTGGATGAAATTGAAAAATTGGGCCATCGTTGGCCCAGCATATCTCCCTTGCTAAATGCTTGATTTGACATTCTAAATAAACAAACATTTACACGAGTCCATTCGCTTTTTAAATGAAAAGACCCCAAGATATTCCTATTTTATCCTTTTTCTTATTAAAAATGACTCATAAATACTCTCCTTTCACTGAATTTGTGAGTTGAGATATTTTTGACCCTTTTCGTTTTTACTTCAAATACAATCCAGCAACAGGGTTATTAATAAATCACAATTAAGAGATTAGTCAAATAATCTCCAAATTAATGGTTGCCGGAATTAAAAATTACAAGTGGTGGAGTATTCTGCTTAGTGCAGTCTGAAGGGTTCAACATTCGGCGTTACTTGTTTTTTAACTTCTCAGTTTACACCTTCAAATCCAAAATCCAACTGAAAAACAATTAAACACTCGTTAATTAATCAAATTATGACCGGTCCTGCCTTTTGTTCTATTTTTCTTTTCAGAATTCGACAATTAATATCTATTTTTAATTATCATTATCCAAATCAACTTTGAAAATACTGAACTGAATATCGAACATGGTAAGTAAAAGAAGTAAGGTTAATTTCTACTTAGCCAGAAGACAAGAAGGAATTGATTGAACATCACAAAGAAGTTGCTGAAAACAAGACAGGTTTGTAAATAATGCTTGGCCTTTTTTGATAACAAAACAAGTCTTCACATACACTAAAAGTCGTAATAATTGCATTGCTTTATTTGTGGCTGTCCTCCCTATTAGGTGTCACAATTCAATCTGTATAAAATTGTCCAATTTAATCTATTCAATTTTCATTAGTCAAAATTTAAACAGATTGGACTAAAAATATTTGTTTTGTTTTTCATCGGCGTTTGATATTTGATTTTAAATTTTGATTAATTTAAATTTGTGTCATATAAAAATCATAAAAAAAAAACACCGCTTAATTTCTACCAAGATTTTCTTCATTTCATTACGGTCGAAGGGATCTTATCCATGATTACATCCCTCGATCATATACAAAAGATTTTGGGTAACTATTTCGTGAAGCTAAATTCATCCATAAGACAACTTTAGATTTAGTGTGTTTTTGTTTCTTTTCTAATTTTTTACAAAAAGACGCACAAACTCTTGATACGAAAATACTTTTGGTTGGTGATTAGATACTAAATAAGGAAAAATGTAAAAGAAAGAATAAATTCGAGTTTAAACAAAGCGTTGAACTATACTTCCTTTTAGCTCAAAGTGTCACAAGTCACAACAATCATAAACATTTGGGGTTGTTTGGTAACTGGTTAGAAGAAATATTATAAACGTATTAGATTATGTATAAGTAATATCATGTTTGATAGTTGATTAGAGTTACGTATAAAATTAATTTAAAATTTGCATAACTAAAATATGTATAACTTATGAGAGTATCTATGTATAATTCTTATGCAGAATAGAAGATGAATAATAATTAATACATGAATAAGTAAACTCTATACATAACTATTTCCTACATAAATTTCCTCATAATTATTCCATATATTACTAATAGATACATGACTCTAGCCAACTATCAAATGATCTAGATATATTAGAACATAATCTTTTTATTAATTTAATTCAATTCAATTCAATTTAATCTACTTCTATTTGACATTGCTTAACTTTGTGTAGACAAGGTAACTTTGTTTTTTTCTTTTTGATTATATGCATGTCTCATGTCTGTGGTACAAAAGATTTTGCTTTGAGGTATTTGTTATGTGTTTCCTCAGAGGATCCAACTCATACTTTGAGTTTTACATGAGAAACAAATTAAGACAGTATATATTGCATAGCTTTATTTCGAAAAAATATATATTATATTTTATTTATATTAACTTGCCTTAGAAACGTGCCACGAATAACATGACAAATTGCATTAACTCCTCCTCCCCATAACATTTCAGTAATAACAATTTACTACGTCTAACAATATTTGTCCACTATTGACTTTGCACGTTTCTTAAGAAACTATAAATATAATGGTAATTTATTATATCACCCTTTGAATATAATAAATATAATATCTTAAAAAATGTAATAAAGAAATAATTATAATTAATGATAAAGGTAAATTGGGAACTAAGTGTAAAATTGTCTATTGATTTCATGAAATAGTTAAATATTGTTGGACTTCCCAAAATAATATAGTGGACAACTATAATTAGACATAAGTAATATTTTGTTTTAATTAAATGATAATAACATTCAGGTTCATATTTTTTGTACTTAAAAATATTTTATACAGTTGGCGTTTGATGCTTCCAAGAGAAAAAATAGAAAGCAAACAAAACACCTTGAATTAATTCTCAGTTATTTTTCATCATGCTCTTGTAATTAAAAATGTACTTGCAAGTGGAACTTTTCGTAGATTATCATAATCTATATTTTAATATGAACAAATTAACAAAATATGAAATTAAAATGGAAGGAGTCACTTTTCAGGGCCAATTTCAATTTTCAGATCCTGAAATGACGTGTCATTGCTACATGTATTTGTCAGTGCGTACATACTACATGAGAATTTTTATATAAACCAATTCACATTATCATAATCTATATTTTATATATGAACAAATTAATAAAATTATAATTTATAACAAGAAAAGAACACACTTTGTGTTTGTTTGATATTTTAATATTAATAAAAATGTATGATATGTTACATTATGTATTTGTGCCTCTTTACTCTCATAAATTGTGGAAGAATGTGGTCATTAGTTGTAGTAACTTTTGTAACCACTGACACTTCATTTCATCAATTATTCTACCTTTTTATTCTTGTAACTTATGTAACTTTTGGGCTATTCATTTATTCAATTTACTATCCATTATTTTCCTATTCATTGCAAGGAAGAACTCTTTACCTATAAATAGTGATCTTTCTTTGGGTTGGGTATAACAAGAGATAGACAAGAGAAAAAGTGTAAGATAATATGAGAAGTATTATATTGTGTATACATTGAGTTAGTGTAGTAAAGAGATAGTTGAGACAAATACGAATATTTTAAATCTTCAACTATATTCACTATATAAAAGAGAATATTTATATGTTGAAGGAAGTTTTTTTTTTTTTTTTTGTGGAGCTTTGAATTCTTCAACTAATTCAAAGTTCCTTGAGTTGTACGGCGTTGTTGAACTACTGTATCCCGAAAAGTGCAAGTCAAGAGTATTATTGCTGGATTGGTGTAGATTATATACCGCAGTGAGCTCGAATCTCCTTAAGAGAGTAAAATATCCACACCTCAGCCTGAATGATTATTTATTCATTTTTATCATTTTATTTTTAACTGTAATTTATTATATTTGTGACATATTATACCAACATTTTGTTTTGAATTTATTAAGTTAAGAGTACTTTATTTGTCTTTTATTACACAAACAAGTGTGAATTAATATTTAATTACGTGAGGTTTTTTTTGTCTCATAATTTAGTGAGTTTTAATATTTTCTGGATCGACTAAATTGGGAGACAAATTGTAATTGTGTGAGTTAGAGACAAGCATGGTAAGTCGAAAGATGTATCGAAACTAAATTTTTTATATCACAATATACTATAATATTCAGTATAAAATTCAATTTGTTTGATATTTGATATTTATATAATAATAGTAAACAATTGATAGTTAGGTTAGTTGAAGTGTTTTTTTGTAATTTATTAATCAATGAAATTGCTTGTATTTTATTTTTTGTTGGATATTTCTTCTATATATATATATAAGAATTAAGATGTTAGTATAATGCAATTGACATATTTCTTAAAAAATCGACAGTCATAATTATGTAGTATGTGTAAAATCGAAGTCAAATAAAATTATCACAATCACAATATCATATAATATTTTTTTTTTTACCAAAAGTCAAAATTATCGAACTAAGTTTTTAATATAGAATCGTAACATACTAATTACCACATAATAAAATTTTCCCCACTTCATCGTATGGTGCAATTGTGGGCTATAAATATGTAAGGAAGACTTTATAAGTGATTCTTTTATCCCAAGTGAAAATTTGGGGCATTTATTCTTGAGAACGAAAGCTCTCGCAATAATTCCAAAGTTATGGATTGAAAAGTTTCTACTTTCTAGAGAGAGAGGATCTGCTGTGCAGAGTACAGAGAGAGAAGGACCACGTAAACGAATACAGTCCATGTATGTAATGAAGGATTCTTGGAAGAACACGATACTTAAACTCCTCTTCTTTTTGCTTTTAAACGACGCCGCTAATCATAAATTTTGTTAAACCCTCTTGTACTACTTCTTGTTTACAGCTCTCTCTCCTTGCAATGTCCGGCGAGGCTTCTTCTTCTGGGTTTAATCTTGAAGGCATTGATGATGTTCAAGATTTTCCATGGGTTAGTTTTTTCTATATTAGTTACAACTCCACTGTTCTTGGGTTGTCTTCTTTAATGGGGTCTCTTAGATTCTGTGTTCTTTAATGGGGGTCTCTTAGATTCTGTTCTTGGACTGTCTTCATTAATGGGGTATCTTAGATTCTGTTCTTGTTTTTTTTTTTTAATGGGGTTTCTTAGATTCTGAAAATTTTCTGATGGAATGCAGGCGAATTCAGGAGAGACGCCATCTATATCGTGGGACAGGTACAATCATCTATGTGAGACTGTGGAGATGGGTAACAAAGCATATCGTGAGAACAGATGGGACGAGGTAATAAACCCAATTTTCTTTAGTTAATAGTGTTGTGCCTTTGATGCTTGGTTAAATTATTCTTGAGGCATTGGTGATTATTCAAGATTTTTGAGAACTGAAGATTTAGAACCAAAAAGGAAGCGTTTTGCAATTTAACTGTCTTTGACTTGGCTGGTTTTTGGAAAGATTTTCATTCGTGTAAGATATCCATATAATTGGAAAATAGAAGGGGGAATGGTTTATTGGGTCTGCCTTTTTCAAGTGGAGTGGAGTGAAGAAGAAGTGGACCTATTAATTTGATTCTGTGTCAAAGACTGCAATTGGTGAATCCCATAAACATGACTTCGTTTCCGGGGCTAACCTTAAATGGAATTGATCACGTATATATGAAACCACTATATTCATCTTTCAGTTTCTTTTCTATGTTGGTACTGATATCATGAATCTAGCTTCTATTGCCAAAAAATACACGGAAACACGGTAAACTTCTTTATGCCGAATATCCATTAGCTAGTGATTCTGCAAGTTAGTGGGGGGAGTTTTATGCTTTTCATACCCCACAAGGGTGGGTTTCAAACTAAGGAAAATGTTTTCCATGAAAAATGTGAGTAATCGTCTTATGGATCATTTTCTAGCGATTGTCTGGGTATAATTAGGTGGCATGCGGTTGTCTGGGTATAATTAGGTGGCATGTGGTAATCCTACAAGGCAGATGATAGGGTTTGAGAACAGTAATATTGATAAGTATTAAAAATTGAAAATAATATTTACATGTTCTTAAAAGATCACTTGCTTAAAAGAACACGTAAACATTTTTTAGTTTTAAAAATGTTATGTGTTCTTCTAAGCAAGTGAGAAATAGAGTATGTATCAGTGCTATTTGGAAAGGAAAATGACCTCCACCCATAATTTACGGGGACACATCTATTGGTAACTAAATACTGGAAATGATTGAACATGGAAAATATTTTTCTCCATACCATAATACACCCTTGGTTCTCTCATTGTTTCTTGTATTCTTTTAAGAGGTACGATAACCTACTGTATTATATAACTTGAAATATTTACTTCACGAGCAAGCAAAGGTTTGATCTTAGGAATCAGAAAGATACACAAGATTTAAAACCAAAATGTTTATGAGCTCTCTGTTTCTCATGGTTGATGAAGAATGGACTAGGTCTATTGTTTTATACTCGTTTCGTAAGAGGTGATGTTTCTCGGGCAGTTCAATAATCTATAGATTTGGAGAAAATCTTGAGACGATGTAAAATCAAGTGCATGTGGTCCAGTATCCAGCTATAACTACATGACATAGTAATTGACGATGCTTGAGGGGCTCTGGTTTAGAGTGATGTTCTAGATGTTGTTTTGACAAGCATACCAGTGCCTAGTCTAGTGATCAACTTTTTCTTTAGTGTTGTCAGTTAACTCGAAAACTAGCTCCTTCAGCAAGGATGATTTGAACTTCCACTGTATTATATTTGATCTCATAAAGGGTCTTGTATGGTTGCATTTATTTTCTTGTTTTCTCAATACCTGTTTCCTTGGTCAGGCTATCAATCATTACACAAGAGCTAGCAACATTAAGCCGGATGATCCTTTTATTCTTAGCAACAGATGTGCTTCATACCTCAGGTGAAGCTTATTTTTATGCCTGGTATTTCTGATGCATATTGACTGCTTTGCTGCGATTTTGATTCATCTCTGTTTATCTTGCCATCTTTACTTAATGTTTTCTATTTGACTGCTCATCATTTTACAAATAGCTGAACTTATTTTTTATGAATGAACTTCCAGGTATAGCCAGTTTCTGAAAAGTAGATCTGCATCAGATTCAGAATACAGGCCATTGAGTGGGTTGGATCCTACAATATATGCTGGGGTCTGTCTGCTTTTTTTTATTGTCTATGATTTCAACCTTCTCAACAGAGGGTTTTGCAGCAAATTTAAATTGTTTTACTTCAATATCAGCTTGCACTAAAGGATGCTGAGAAGGTGATGCAGCTGCAGAACAATTCAGTTACCTCATATATTCTGAAGGCAAACTCACTCATTTTGGTAAGGAAATTATTGTCTCATGCATCATTAGCTTTGGAAACCACATGGTGAAACATGTGTCGGTTTTGGAAAATAGCCTTGTTTTCTATTTCCCTTTTTGTTGTTCTCTAAATTCTCTATACTTTGAGGGTGGGTTAAATAACTAAATTGGAGTTTTCCTTGTGTGTTGGGGACCCCCTCGTATACATTGTTCTATCATGAGAGTTGCAGTTGCAGATACTTCAACTGTCTAGTTCACTCAATGGTCTTCTGTTATCTCATCAAATCCTTATTTCTTTATTTATTCTGCTTGTTGTCAGTTTGTAACTGTTTGAATATAGTGAAGGAGATTGCTATACTTCCAATCTCTTCTTAAACATTTGATGGGTTGATAATCTTCTTGGACACTCATCTCATTTCTTGAATTGGCAGTTAGAAAAATATGAGCTCGCCCAAGAGATAATCCGTTCAGGACTTCAAATGAATCCTCTAAGGTAAAGCAAATTATGGTGATAATCATAACTATGACATGCTTTTTCATGTCAGTAGCTGTTCAAAAGAAGCATAATGTGTATTTTCCAGAAGCATTGTGGTAAAGTTTGATTATGTGGTGAGTTTTTAATTGTTGTTTCTTCTGGACTGTAGCAATCCCCTTCTAAATTTGGAGAAATCGATCAAAACTACACTTGGAAGGAGAAGCCACGGGAGACCACAGCGCAGTGATGAATTTGACTGTACCCTGTGCTTAAAGCTATTATATGAACCTATAACAACTCCCTGTGGACATTCTTTTTGCCGTGCATGCCTTTTCCAGTCAATGGACCGATGTAAGTTTTAGATTTGCATGTCCTATCTATCCCAACTTTTTTTACATATTGAATTATAATCATCTTCTATTCTTCCTACTCTTCTTCCTTACCCTTTGGATGAACATTTTGTAGATAACAAATGTCCATTGTGCCGAACAGTTCTTTTCATTAGTCCCAGAACGTGTGCAATCAGGTAGGTTGCTTATGGTTCATCCTCCCATTGTACTTGTTTTACACTTACTGCTGAGACTGTGGTTTCTCTATTTTTCTGTTCTTTTTTAGGATAGTAAATGATCCCTAGTAGCATCCAGTCACATGCTTTATTGCTTCCTCTCTTGTAATTCTGTGTAAATAAATTGATTTTCTAGACCACAATTCTTCCTGCAAAAGGAATAGAAAGCATATTGTGTCTGTACCTTTACATACCTTGATGACTCTTCACTAATATTAATGATTTGATTGAACTCATTTTGTCCCATGTGGCTAAAATTTCATTATCTATATTTGTCTTGTGTGGCTAATACACGTCATTCTTATTTGCACGTTTTCAGTGTAACGTTGAAAAACATAATAGAAAAAACTTTTCCTGAGGAATATGCTGAAAGGAAGGCTGAGAATGACAGTTTGATAAACCCCGGTGTTGACTTGCTGCCTCTTTTCGTCATGGACGTTATTCTACCATGCGAGAAGCTCGCACTCAACATTTTTGAACCTCGTTACAGACTTATGGTGAGTGCTACCTAACTATTATTTTCTTGACTATTAGTGTAGAATGCAGTTTTACCTTTTTCGGCGTGGGACCTAGATGAACCATCATTGTTCTATTTCTATATCTTGAGGATCATGATTTTTTTAGAATTCTATTACCTATGGTCCCTTTCATTGCGTCTTAGTTTACCAGATATAAGAAAAGGTTTCAATAAAACTTTTGGTGCTACTTTGACATAAAAAAATTATGAGGTAAGAAGTGTTTAGATGATTGAAGCTTATCACCACTAGTAGAAGTATTGGAACCATTATTAAAAGAAGTACTATTATCTTATTTTATTTAAGTCTAAAAAAAAAAAAAAAAAAACAACAGTTACAACGACTGCACTTCGGGCCCAAAGTAAAACTGGGATCTACTTTACAAATCCAATATATCCAGCCTGCACAGTTAGGGATTTTCTGAAATTACAAATCCAATATATCCACTACTCAGTTTATTTGTTAGACATCCTCTGAAATTAGGGATTCTCTAAATGTCCCACTTATATGTATACTTCAGAGTCTGTTCAGACAATCTTTTGAAAGTCTTCTGTCAGATCTGGACATTATGTAAGAGTGCCCAGGAAGTGGCAGAATTTGAAATGGGGATTTTTTAGATATTGATTATTTTTTGTCTAAGATTTTCGAAGACATGATACAAAAATGTATACTTGATTGAGGAGGACCAGATCTGGCAATTGTGATTCTCTTTTGCTAATTTGTGCAATTCTGAAAAGACATCTAGAGCATCTCTGCAAGATGGCTCCTGCAAGTAATCCATCGGACTAACCAGTGAGCAGGCCTCAACTATTGTTAGCTTTAGCTAATGAACAATATATTTAGAAGCAAAAGAGAGGGAATAAAGTATTGAGAATCTTCTTCTTCGTGTTTGATTGTATAAATATAAGGAAACAACATAAAATAGAGAGTTTTTTGCAATTGTTCCCTGGGCATAGAATAGGAATGTGGAAAGTATATATTTCTTTCTGACTGTCCAGCTCAAACAAAATAAATGAAAAGCATTATAATACTTGTCCCTCCTTTTTTTCTCTCGTATTTTAGTTTTCTCTTGCTATCCCTAGATTGCAAACAAACCTTTCAATCATGCATAGTTAAGATGGAATTTCATAGATCTCACATGCATACTTGTCTTGTAAAAGCTGACAAATTTTGTTGTTGAAACAGATCAGGAGGATAATGGAAGGAAATCGCCGAATGGGAATGGTAGGTTTTCCTTTGATTTCCCCCCAGTTATTATGCTTGGTTTTGCTGCCTTCACTTTTGGCTGAGGCTTCACTGTTAATCATGCAGGCTGTTCATGATTCTACGACAGGTTCGGTAGCTGATTATGCTTGTGAAGTGGAGATTATAGAGTAGGTGTTCTGCGACCTGTTCAGATTTTCGGGATATCTTTTATGTTTATTCTTCTATCGATTCCATCATTTTATCCTTGTTTATAGAAATTGATAACCTTCATCTCTTTGCGTAGATGTGAGCCACTTCCAGATGGGCGTTTCTTTCTGGAGGTGAATATCAGCTTTTTGTCCCATTAGATGCTTTTGTTTTTGTACCATGAGCCTTCATGTTAGCATGGTGCTTATTTACTACTTATGAGTTCATTAACACAAGGGTCTAAACTGCTATGTGATGACTTTTAAATGTAAAATAGTCGAGGTTCTTCACCATACACTAACATGTATAATATTGCATCCATGTAAAATATCCTTGGTGCACCTGACGGTTTGTTTAAACTGAAAATGTTCTTCTTGAACACTTTGACCATTTCTCACTTCAGCAAGTTTAGAATTCAATATCTTTGCTAGATGAACCTTGGTTTTGGTTGTTTTCTTTTGAGGACGATATAAAAGACTATTATTTTCACCAGAGGCGGTGTCATGTCTAGATGTCCCACCATAATAAAGACAAGTTTCTACTGAAGATTTTATTCCCTCGTCAAAAATCTTCAAAGTTCTTTAACTTGTATCTGATTAAGCACAAACTTATGCAGGTTGAAAGTCAACGTAGATGCCGCATCGTACGACATTGGGATCAAGATGGGTTAGTTCAATATCTAACTCCTTACTGGTAGAGATGAAAATTGGTAATTAAGTTTAAGAAGTAAGAAGGGCACAGAAACATAGCTTCACGTAACATATGGTTGCCAAATGAAAATGCAGAAAGTAACTTCTGACCTTTTCTGTTCATTATGCAAGCAGGAGTTTTGTAGGAAAGCAGTTCAAAAAGCTCACAAAAAAAAAGTTTCTTTGTAACAAGGGTAGGAAACTTGAAGGAATTGGTTTCTTCTTGTTTCGAACTTTCCTTTTCCTTTCATACAAAAACAGATTGAAGAAAATGTTGTTCTGTTTAATTTCTTTCTCAAAAGTAAATTTCCAACAACTTTCTTATAAAAGAGGCCAAAGATTTGAAATTCTACAATGGGTGAAGAAAATGTTGTTCTGTTTAATTTCTTTCTCAAAAGTAAATTTCCAACAACTTTCTTATAAAAGAGGCCAAAGATTTGAAATTCTACAATGGGTGAAGAAAATGTTGTTCTGTTTAATTTCTTTCTCAAAAGTAAATTTCCAACAACTTTCTTATAAAAGAGGCCAAAGATTTGAAATTCTACAATGGGTGAAGAAAATGTTGTTCTGTTTAATTTCTTTCTCAAAAGTAAATTTCCAACAACTTTCTTATAAAAGAGGCCAAAGATTTGAAATTCTACAATGGGTGAAGAAAATGTTGTTCTGTTTAATTTCTTTCTCAAAAGTAAATTTCCAACAACTTTCTTATAAAAGAGGCCAAAGATTTGAAATTCTACAATGGGTGGGGGTGTTAGAAGTCTCTGGGTTGGTCTGTTGGTTGCTTTGCGTTAAGTAAGGAGATTGGATCCAATATGCTATCCCAAAATATTAAGCACAACACCAATGCTATAAAATTTCTATTATTCTGCTACTTTATGCTTCTTTAAGCTTGCTTATTATTATTTTTCCCCTTGGCCATTATTATGAAGGTATCGTGTTGCTGAGGTTGAATGGATACATGATATATGCCTAGCCGAAGGAACAAGAGAGAGGCATGAAGTAAGTTGTACAGCAATCCTCTGATCGATATTTGTCAATCCATTTTATTTATGATCCTTATTTTTGTGTTATATTAATCTTTTCTTATTCACCTCCTAAAAGAAAGATTCTTGTTTCTTGAATCTTGTGCCTCTGTTCGAGGATTTTTGGGGAAAACTGTTTTTCCTGGGATTCCTCTGAAATCTAACTATTACTGACTGCCTTATACTTCATATGAGTAATTTTTCCCGTTTTCTCTTACTGACCATGTAATTCATGCCTTTTCAATTTGAATTATGATCGAAAGCTCATTTTCCTTTCTCAAATGCTTACTGATATATACTATACGCGAATTTGTGTATATGTAATACTAATTCATTGTCAAGTGCTTAATGCTTTCAAACTCTTGCTTTATATATGTTGAACTGTAATTTGTCAATTGCTGATAGTTACTGGAGACGGCAAATAAGGCAGCGGCATTTGCTCAACAATGGTTGAGGAACGCACAACAAGTAGCAGGAGGTAAAGTCGCTAATAAGGTTTTTCCTTTCTTGTCTTTATCTTTTGTGGCAAGTGATTATAGTAGGTCCATTTGTAGGATGAAATTTGATGTCTTTTTGATCCTTTAATACATGGCTACAACACTTCCATAGATAGGTTTTGAAAGTAGATGTACCACTTGCATATATAGGTGTTAGATTTTTGGCATGCTTGATGTACATGCTACAACACTTCATATTGGTGTGTTATCTATGAGTCCTTCTGAATTAAAAGATTGCTTTATCAATCAATCCAAGTGGTGATCATGACCCGGAAAATTTGTCGTCCCTATCAAACTAAACTATATTTGGAAGGCTTTAGGCAGAGAGCTGAGCTTATTGTTTCTGCTTTGTGTTATATTACAGCCTAATTATTCTTTTTGCTTAATATTCTCAGTACAAACATCATAACCTAGACTTTACCTACAGATCGTAGACGTGCAGAACTCTTCAAAGCTGAAGGATTGATGCCATCACCACAGGATCCTGAGCGCTTAAGTTTTTGGGTACACATTTGAATCCATGTTCAAGTTAAAAACAAGTAGTAGGCATGAATTAGTTTTTTATATTTTGGTGCCTAAATAAATGCAGCTTAACACTCTGACCAGTCGTAGACCAACAGAGAAATTAGACCTGCTTCAGATACGAGATACACCTGAGGTATTTGTTCTTTAACACTTCATTTAAACTATCTTTTTTTTTTTTTTTGATAACCGAGAAATCCGTCTGTGACCCGCCCTTTGGACCAATCACAGCCTTCTAAACTCGGTGGATAATGGGCCTGCCCCTCTACCCTTCTCCACTTAAATACCGGGCTTCGCTTTGCATGGTGTGGGGCTTGAACCTGCGACCTAAGCCACAAATCCTCCACCTTTTGCCACTTGAGCTAGGCCTTGGGGGCCATTTAAACTATCTTTTTTCTTGAGCTTCTTTCTTAGTAAACAAGGTTTTGCTACACGATGGATGTTGGTGTAGCATGTCCTGAGCACTAGGGTAAAGGGCAGTCGAGCAACTAAAGCAAATTGCTTTATTCTGACATAGGTTAAGAGGGATTAGAGACATACATGTAAGATATAGTCAAAAGATCCTAGTGCTTCAGCGCTGAGTTCATCCGAACCCAGTATTTTTGACACAGAGTATAGATTTTTATGTGAATCTACAAAAAAAAATAAAAAATATTAGGATCTAATCCCAGAATTATACAAGTACAATGGGTTCGGTGCTTAAGAACATTATTAGTCGAGACCATCAAATTGAAATCTTGGATCCGCCTGTCAAAAGTCCTTTTTTCTCTGATTCTTTCTTGATTAGTCGCTTTTATCATCTGTTGATTGTGCTTAATTTATTCCGCAGAGGATAAGGAGAGGTCTGCTATACATGAAACAAGAAGAACAAGGTTGCCGGCTGCAATAATATTTACTGAACTTGTAATTAGTTCCTTTTACATGAAAGCAGGAGAAGGCTGCCAGCTGCTATAATTATGGTCAACCTGTAATTAGTTCCATTGTTTGTATTATTATCATTATTGGTTTTTCTGTAAAAGCTCATTTTGATTTCAATATTTTTAACCTCACATATCCAGGACCAGTACTGGTGGATCCTCAACCCAATTTTTCTCCTTGATAGAGATTTATTGTTGAATTCAACTTTTTCTCTTGTAAAAGCCTGCACTGTTATTTAACTAGGCTGTTCTTTTGTTGTAAACAGTGGGTGGGTCTACCCCGGAATACATACAGTTAAACCAAAACGACGAATTTTGTAGCCACAGTATCTCGAGTAGAATGGACCTTTGTGTTTGTATAGCAATTACAGTTCATATTATATTTGCTTCCTTCACCAAATTCATACCTTGTTTCTATCTGATAGCTGTAGTGATAAAAATTTGGTTGGATGAACCAGTTTAGCGCATCCTTTGGAGGGTTTATTGAAAATAGTCTCTCTACCTTCATAAGGTAGGGGTAGGATTGTGACACACCACCTCCTCCAGACCCCACACCATGGGTATGTTGTTGTTGAACCAGCTCAGCACACCAACTGGAAAGCATGACAGAAGCCCCTGGGCCGCTTGACCCAGGAGCCAACGCTCTTTCGCCTTAGCATATGTAGTGTTTTCTTGCTCCAGTGCAACGGTTACTGCTCCATATCCTACTGTCCTTGTACGGGCTTTAAGATTTTCGACACTGTCTTTTCACAAAACAAGAGGCTGTCACCTATAGAAAAGGGACTATTATCAACATGGTTGCTTTACTACTGTATTAATGCCTTCTGAGTTCTGCTTGTTTGGAAGCTTTTACAAGATCACCAATAATACATTTACAGTTTTCATCGTCTATTTTTCTTCGCAATTTTATGATTTCTAGCGCAATGAGGAAGGATTTTGAGTTGAGTTCTGGGAAATTAGCCATTATGTTGACGGTTTTTTAGTGGCGTACAACGAAGATCGTAAATTTAGTTCATTGAATATTGGCTAGTGGATTTATTTTTATGTTTATTGCAGCTGCAAATTTTAGCGTGTAAGGAAGCATTTACATTTTAAAGTTCTTACTTTTTTCACCGTCACTTTGTTTTATAAGCATAAAAATCAGTCTCATTCATGAATGAGAAAGTACAACATTTGACTATTTGTACCATAATCCAAACTTAATTGGCATTGAAGTATATACACTATGTAAAAAAAGTCCACTGTCAATGTAATTTAACTTGTTATAACATCATCGTAAGTCGGTTAGTCAAAACTTAAAACTCTTAGCACTTACAGAGAGACATTAACATACCTAAAAATCCGGTATTTGGTCCTACAAATTGCATAAACAAAGGATGATTAACTGATTCTTCTATATAATGATGATGATGATGATGATAGCCATTTCCCTTCAAAGGTCAACTAATTAAAAAAAGTTTTTCTTTAAAGCATTATATTCCCAGCTGGATACGCGCTTTGGACTTTTCTGTTTATTGGTAGTTAATCACATCCTTTCTTAATTTTTTTTTTTAATAAAAAAAAACTGTTTTAAGAATCAGTTTATGGATAATTAACAGAATCACTGAAAAAGTCTTTATAAGTCTACAGCTACAACAAGGCACGTTCTGTCCTAAATCCTAACATGTTAACAACAAATGTTCACAATATTCTTCTTTACTACTTACAAACATAGACGTGCTATACTCTAATTCAAGAATTGTCTTTCACTTATGTCTATTCAACAATTTTAGTATTCTAACATCTAACATTTTTTCTCTCATACAACAAAAAGATGAGAGGAAGAAAACACCCTCTTGTCATTTTTGCTTATCTTGTACTAGTTTTTGCAAATGTAGCTACTTCAGCTTCAAAAGGAACGTTTACGCCGACCGATAACTATCTGATCAATTGTGGATCCCCTGATACTACTTTGCTTGATGATGGAAGGACTTTTAAGTCTGATCCTCAATCTGCTTCTTACTTGTCTACTGATGAGACTATTTTAGCTTCTGTTAAGTCTTTATCAGAAAAGGTCACTTCTTTTTCCTCTGCCTCTTTGTTATATCATACAGCAAGAATATTTGAAAGTGAGTCTATGTATAGGTTTCTTGTTTTCAAACCAGGCAGACATTGGGTGCGTTTGTACTTTTATCCTATTCAACATCCAAATTATAATCTAGCAAGTGCTATGTTTACTGTTACTTCTGATAATATTGTTTTACTTCATGATTTCTCAGTGAAAGATACTAGTAAAGTTGTGTTCAAAGAATACCTTATTAATATTACTTCATCTCAATTCACTCTCAAATTTTCACCTTTGAAGAGATCTTTTGCTTTTATCAATGCCATTGAGTTTGTGTCAGCACCAGATGATCTCATTCCTGATTCAGCTGCTGCAGTTTCCCCTGTTGGTGATTTTAATGGCCTGTCTCAATTCGCGTTTGAAGTAAGTTATCGGTTAAATGTTGGAGGGCCAATTGTCACACCAAAAAATGATACATTGTGGAGGACATGGTTGCCTGATAATAAGTACATGGCATTTCCTGAAGGGGCTCAGAATGTGTCGGTTCCTCTAACGACAATCGTTTATCCAGATGGAGGGGCGACACCTTTGATTGCCCCGAGTTCAGTTTATGCTACGGCTGATATGATGGCAGATTCTGGGGTGCCCAACTCGAATTTCAAGCTAACGTGGGAGATGGACGTTGATTCGAGCTTTTCCTACTTTATCAGAATGCATTTCTGTGATATTGTGAGCAAAGGCCTAAATGAGTTGTACTTCAATGTCTATGTTAATGAAGTGGTGGGGGTCTCTAGTCTTGACCTTTCAACACTGACTTCAGAGTTGGCCACCCCTTATTACAAAGACTTTGTGCTCAATGCCACAGCCATCACCAACGGTTCGATCATAGTGCAGGTGGGACCCGCGTCAAACGTCCAGTCTATCCTCCCAAATGCCATCCTCAATGGATTGGAGGTCATGAAGATGAGCAACATGGAGGGAAGCTTGGATGGGCTGTTCTCATCTGGTGGACGGCATGGTGTAATGCCAAGATCACGCGGAATGAGAATTGCTGCAGCTTTTGGATTGGCAATGGGGGTTACAGCATTAGTATTGCTTTTGATGGGCATTGTTCGTTGGCGAAGGAAGCCAACAAAGGGTTGGGAGAAGCAGAAGACATTCTCTTCATGGCTTCCTCTCAATGCTAGTTACTGCAGCTTCATGTCAAGCAAGAGCAAGACTAGTTGTTCAACAATCATATCCTCTGGCCTCAACTTTGGCCGCGTCTTTACTTTCAATGAAATCAAGAAAACAACAAAAAACTTTGATGAAAAAGCAGTCATTGGTGTTGGAGGCTTTGGAAAAGTGTATCTTGGTGTTTCGGAAGATGGAACAAAACTAGCTATAAAGCGAGGAAATCCATCATCCTCACAGGGCATCAACGAATTCCTAACAGAAATTGAGTTGCTATCCAAGCTTAGGCATCGACATCTTGTTTCACTCATTGGTTATTGTGATGAACAATCAGAAATGATTCTAGTCTATGAGTACATGTCTAATGGTCCTTTGCGTGACCACATTTATGGTTCCACTTTGCCAACTCTGACATGGAAACAAAGGCTCGAAATCTGCATAGGAGCTGCTCGAGGACTGCACTACCTTCACACTGGTTCAACTCAGGGAATAATACATCGCGATATAAAAACTACAAACATCCTCCTTGATGAGGACTTTGTCGCAAAGATGGCTGATTTTGGCTTGTCAAAAACCGGTCCTTCACTGGAGCAAACACATGTTAGCACAGCAGTGAAGGGTAGTTTTGGTTACCTTGATCCTGAATACTTCAGAAGACAACAACTAACAGAAAAATCTGATGTGTACTCATTCGGGGTAGTCCTTTTTGAGGTACTATGTGCAAGACCTGCTCTTGATCCTGCATTGCCAAGAGAACAAGTGAATTTGGCAGAGTGGGCAATGCAGCAACACAGAAAGGGCACTCTGGAGAAGATCATAGACCCTCATATTGCAGGAACCATTAGCCCTGAGGCGTTAAGGAAATACGTGGAAGCTGCAGAGAAATGCTTGGCAGAATATGGGGTTGATAGGCCTGCAATGGGAGATGTTTTGTGGAACTTAGAATATGCCTTGCAGCTTGAAAGTGCATCCCCGAGTAGTGTTCCAGTGAAGAACGAGAACGAGAAAGAGAATGAGAATGAAAATTCCAAGCCAAGTTCTTCAGAACAGCCTGGAACGAATTCGAAGAGCAATAAAGAAGCTCAGCTCATTGACATTAATGATGATTCTGGAGTGGTGGTTGGTTCTCCTATGTTCTTAGAAGGTTTTCAAGGAAGATAATAACTGTAATAAGTAACTAAAACCAAAGATGATCAGCCTTTTTGTTTTTTGATTTTTTCTGTTTTCATGTTTTTTTTTACTTTACTTTTTCAAGCATTATTGGGTTATCTGTGATTGATTTCCTGTTTAGTTCATATAACTGGAGACATACCAGAAGTTTTTTCTGTAATCCAAGGATCTAATTGACTTTCCCCTTGTAGTTGTATTTTACTGATTTATCTTCAGTCAGGTGTTAATTTTTCAATATGTAATTCTGCTCTCTTGTAGAATTTAGAAAGCCAGTAAACTTGTAAAATGGCGAAATATATGTTATGAAATTACTTATAATTCACATTTGTCAAGAAATACGAGTTAATCTATTTCTTGTTGGAGGTGTCACCACGATGAGTACATTAGCTTTTACGCAGATAAAGAGTAAATGGAAGTAGGACAAGTTGTGATACGTTTCATTTGTAATAAAAGCAGACAACTTTTGAAACAGACTAAAAAGGAACGTAGTAGTATTATGGGTAAAGACGTATATCTTATCTAACGATTCCAATTGAAAGGAAACACCATAACAACTGAATGTCAAAATCTCTAAAATTAATTGGAATGAGAGACCTGCAGGCACTTTTACTGAGAGAGAATATCACTTCTGGCATAAGCCTGAACTATAGAAACATGAACACAAATTTAAAGTATAGGTAAGGAACATTATAAACCTATTAACATTTATATGTACAACAAGGTTTCTCATTTGTCAACAAATTACACAACAATTACTCCATACATCCTCCTCTTACTGTCCAATCATTGTGGTCCCTCTAGCTGCCTAATGAAACCAGCACAGAAATCCAGGAAGAGGAACTGCGGACCGCTAATTCTTTGGAGATCAAGCAGGTATTTTTCATCCTCAGTTTTGTACAGCTGTAACAGTATTAAAGCAAATCCATATTAGCAAGATTTGAATTTAAAAAACTAGAAGGGCTCCTACTAGTAGAATCAATGGTATTCTGTATTTAACTGGATTATTTTTTTGAACGCAAGTCAAACAATCGATAAATTTGAGTACCAGAAGCTAGAATTGTTGTCCAAAATCATGCCACAGTTAGCAAACAACCACTATGTTGAGAGCAAAAGATGATGGGAAAAAAGATAACCGTACCTGCATTTCAAACTTCACAGTAGGTTGTGGCTGTAAATGTGTACTTATGGCAGTTGCATTGCTAATAAAATGATCATCATCATTCATATGATTGTTGGCCATACTATGAAGATGAAGATCATGACACCATAAACACTTCATATTATAGTGCCCAATTTTTTTCCATCGAACATTTAGTTCCAGCAGAGTCCCCAGAACCTGATTCATGATCTCCTTTGGATTTGCTGGAGACTGAAAAAGTAATCAACGTGAAATGAGGAAATTCACACAATATTTCCATTACATATGCTGCAAAAAAATTAACCTGAAGTCCAACTAGCCACATTTTCTCTTTGCGAAATGGGCGTCTCAAACTCTCTTCAGAAACTCCGTTCCCAGTAGACAGCTGTAGGTCAAGATTTGGAAACAATCCAGGGGAATAACAATCCTGAAGAAACACATGAATGTAAATTACAAGGATCATCTATTGAGTGTGGAACACTTGAGGCTATAGTAAAACATTATCTGACATTTGAAGAAGCATAGCTCTAAACTAAGGGAAGGGTACAGAAGTTACAAAAGTAATATTGTTTAAAGCCTGAACCCAACCACCAGTGTTTCAAACTAGTAGTAAGAGCGGCAATGGGAACCATAGTAGTGTATCTTGAATTTACTCATGTACAGAAAACAATGACTCTTGGCATGCTTTGCAGATTTTCACCTTCATATTATAGAAAGCCAACAGATTCAATCAAAGCAAATATCAAGGACACTGCTACCTCTCCCAAACCCCAAACACAAAAATTCCCACTTCTGAGTTAATAAGATTATTTATAGACTCTGATACTATCAGTAAGAAGTTCAGAGGTAATATAGAAATTACAAGGTGAATAACAAATAGAATATAGTTGGTGAAGTACAGAACATAGTAGCATCTCCTCTCCCTTATTTGTGCAAAAAAGAGCAGCATATCTGTAGGAGTAGTATCTTCATTGTGATGGGATTTCACAAATTATAATTTTCCTATCTGACTCTTGACAATCCCAGAATAGCATGAACGGTCTGCAGTTCACATATTCTTTTTTGACAGAATGGTAGTAAATGTAAGCCCAAAAATTTTATGCACTGAGAAATAATGAATGAAGTAAAAATAAGAGAGGGCATACCACAGATTCCTGAAACTCATCTCCTAGATACCCACTGGAAGCCATGGAACGGTTGTCGTACAGCAGATAGTATGCAACAGTAGCCTGAAACAGACGCATAAAGGTATAAAGCAAACTGAAGTAATGAAAAGGTTTAACAATTACCACACCTCATCCCTTTGCAATCGATTTGATTTAATGTGACCCAAAACTTAGTTGACTCACAAAGTATATAACTCCCCTCAAGGATCAGCAAATCCACTTAAAAGCCTCAATTTCTAGTGTAGATATGTAAAACACAAGTATATCTACAATTGCTAGATTCTTTTCCTTTTTCAGTACCATATTATTAGGCATATGCAATAGAGAAAACCCCAAAGAATAGAAAAGTAGCTACAACAAGAGATAGAGTCGCCGGTAGTGATGTAAGAAGCAACGTACATCATCCTGTATTCTCTTTTGCAAAGAATCAAGCAACTGGTCTCTATCAATCCGCATCCTACTTACTTGCTGGAGAATTTCCTCATCAAGCTGCAGCAGGACAGCTTATAGTTACAGCAAGAACGAGTAAATAGAAAGAATTGCATACCACATTATTTAACAAACAGACAGTCATATACATGAGGAACGAGATATATATGGGATAGTTATGACAACTTTTTGACATCTCTGGACAAATGAGATCCTCCGCAATGGCAGCAAGAAACATAAGTGTTCCCTGATCTTGTAAGAGGAAGTGAAGATTGATAACAGTATTTTGATTTTCTTTGGAAGCATACTTCATGATTCTTTTATGTCACAACTTGAATTAATACAAGACTAACAAATGGAGAAACCACAAGAGCCAGTGCCCAGTTTGGGTTTCCAGATATACAGCAGCATATCTTGTAGGATTTAAAGGTAGCAGTGGACAAAAAGGGGTCAAGCCAATAGGAACACTTTCAGCATCATACAAGATACCTTTGTTATTAGCATAATAATGTTATAGTTACCTTTTTAAGATGTTGCCTAGCATCAGGTGGAGGAACCGCCAAATACCGAGGAAGATGAATTTTGAACCACTGGTGCTGACGAATATCAGGTACCGATATGCGCTTCATAGGGTCAACAATTAGCATCCTTGGTATCAAATCCCTAGCTAAAGGTGACAGATGACTTGGAAGGGTGTAGACTCCACTCTAAATGACACATGGTCAACCATGTAAGCACCACTACATCAAACTATAAAAACTTGGAAAATCTAGGGAAACCAGACAGAAAAGTAGATCAATGGATGTACCTTTATTTTCTTGAAAAGGTTGGGTATATTTTCGTCATCGAAAGGAAGTGTACCACAAAGAAGAGCATATAAGATAACGCCACAACTCCAAACATCTACCTCAGGACCAGCATATAGTTTCCCAGAGACAACCTGCAAATAAATGTTGTCTATTGACCTTCAGCAATCCAGCTCAAAAAGAGATATGGTCATCTTAAAGATTACAAGCTGTACAGGTTTCCACCTCAGGAGCTGCATAATTTGGACTTCCACAACTAGTCTTCAGAAAATGGCCATCTCGCATGATGTTGCCCAAGCCAAAATCTGCTATCTTTACATTGCGTCTTGCATCCAAAAGCAGATTCTCAGGCTTAAGGTCCCGATGAACCACCATATTCTTATGGCAGTACTCCACACCAGCAATAATCTGTCCCCAGTGAAACAACCAAGCAATAACAATTTGAGCGACAAAAAAGAAACTACATTAATCTCGTAAGACCTAAAATCACAGTTAAAACTGTCATTTGCTCTATCAAAAGGACCAAGAAAATAAAATTAACTCTACCTGCTGAAAAAATTTCCGAGCTTCATCTTCCTGTAACCTGCCTTTTTCTACAATATAATCAAAGAGCTCACCAGACTTGACATACTCCATCACAACATATATATCTGTTGGTGTCTCTATCACTTCATAGAGTCGTATGACATGTGGATGCACAAATAATCTACATATTTTTATTTCTCTCCTCACTGCACAAAGATAAAGTAAATTTAGATGTTCGATGGATAACCATCTAAATTCTCAAAGGAACTAACCAAGATGAGCTTCAAATGAACTTGTTTTAAACTTCACAAAAATATATCAAGGTGGAAAGAGAGAAAAAAACCGAATTTTGATGTAAACTTAATGATACCCAGGTATGAGATTCATACGTTTTTCTTCCATGTCTGGAGTCTTCATTTTCCGACGGTTAAGGATTTTGATCGCCACTTTATGCCCAGTGAGCAAATGCTCAGCAATTTTAACTTTACCAAAGGATCCATGTCCAAGAGTTTTTCCAACCCTGTAGTTCCTTAAATAAGGAGATTCTGCAATTCCACCACCTCTGGAACTCATTTGCTAATAGAACACCTGATTCACACCTCTAGCAATTTAGTCAAAACAGTTGAAATACCTAGCTAATTCATCTTGAATCACACAGCAAATCCTTTCTCTAGTCACACAGACGATTAACTAAAGTTAACAACTTCAATTCTCACATTACAAAATTAGGTCAATTGAGCATCAAATGAAAGCAGAATCTTAATCCGATCCTAAAATCTTCGAGAGTTCCGCCCTGCTATACAAGTTAAAAAGTTGAAGATTCCGCAATCAATGATCAAACAAAACTCTTAACAACCAGATCAAAGCTCAACTCAAAAACTGTAATTGCTAATTCAAAACACGATTTTGCTCAACTATTCACAAAAAAATAATCACAAAAAAACAGGAATTTTGCAAGTTTTACACAGAAGAAGTAGCAGAAAATGAAGTTAAAAAAATACCTGGAGAAAGTTATGAATTGAATTTGTTCAGTGCATGAGCGGATTTTTCTCGGGAAAGAGAAGGAGAAAAAGAGGGCGGAGAATTTTATAGAAAG